CTCATATTTTTGCTAAAGCCAAAAAACTAAAACGGGAAAGTACCCTCATGATACTGTTCTGAACTAGAAGATTTTAATTTCAGGGCCACTAGGAGAGTTCTAAAAAACTCGCCACTTAAAAAAATGTCTTCAGGCCTAACAAATGATAACATCTATTGTTATGAATACTTTTTCTTTCCACAGTGTCACCATAGCAATACACTATTACATCAGATACAGGTGACCTTTTAAAAAACCTGTCTTGTTATTCCAGCTAATTACTTTGCATGATATCAAGCTCAGTGTTAAGTCACAGCTATAGACATCATCAACTGTATTGTGCCTACTAAAATATTGAAGCAAATTATTTGTGTTTTCTGTGGTCCTTAAGACTCTTTTAATTCTTAAATTATTGGGAAACCCAAAGAGTATGTGTTTATATTGATTATATTGATATTTATTGTGTGAGAAATATAAAATTGACTTTTTTCAAAATCTATCTTTGGTTTAGATTTCACAAGCTTACCACTATTGATATTATGAGCTAGATAATGCTTTGTTGTGAGGACTGTCCTTTGCATTGCAGAAAGTTTAACAGCACTGATGGCCTTTACCAACTAGATGTCAGCAGTAACCCATTACCCAGATTGTGACAACAGAAAATATTCCTTGAGAATGATATTGCTAACATAATTTTTTTAGGAAAAAATACTTTTCTTTAAACGTTGAGTAAAAAGTATGTCATGTATTTATATTATTGAAAATCTCTAATGTTGAGCTTAATAGAAGACAGCTGGATTCTCTTTCTTGGCAATTTGTTTCAAAGAAACAATAAGATGATGTGGCCTCGTGCAAATATGTAGTTGATAAAAGGTGTATTTTTAATTCTTTCAGACAGTTGTGGGTATTCTTTAATATTAAACCAAAACTTTACAAGTGCTAGTTTGTTAGAGTGGCATTTTACATATTAATAAATGTATTCCATCAATGTTCACTGATCTTTCTTGCACGATAAATGGATCTTTCCTTCCATATTTGCTTTTATAATAGTATGCATAAGTTATTTGGAAAATATTGGTTTATGTTTTATTGTGTCAAAAACTCACTTTTGTTAATATAACCACCAATCTTATTTTTAAAAGTCTAAGTATCGAGAAGCTGTCATGCTTACGGTTGAAGGAACAAGTTTTTCAAAGTCCTCATGAAAGCCTGAATTTTATCATTGGGAACAAAGACTTATTTTCCTTGGAGTGACAGCCTCATTTTGTTTTTGAGAATGATAGTTGTGCTTTTTTTTTAGACCAAGTCTCACTCTCTCCCTTGGCTAGAGCGCATTGGCATGATCTCAGGTCACTGCAACCTCTGTCTCCTGGGCTCAAGCAATCCTCTTGCCTGAGCCTCCTGAGTAACTGGGACCACAGCCGTGTGGCACCATGCCTGGCTAGTTTTTTTGGTATTTTTGGTAGAGACAGGGTTTCATCATGTTGCCCAGGCTGGTCTCGAACTCCTGACCTCAAGCAATCTGCCTGCCTTAGCCTCACAAAGTGCTAGAATTTTACAGGCATGAGCCACTGCGCTGGCCCAGTTGTACTTTTAAATAAAAATGATGTTCCATGAAAAAAGTGATTATTCAGTTCACAATTAAATCACAAATTCTTTTTTTAAATGCAAGCATACTGTAGTAAGCAGAAGTGCTTCTTGTTAACTTTCCACTTGTTTAGAATATTAAAAAGAAATGTTAAGATTTAACAACACCATTAATTTTTACTGCTTCATCAAAGATATTCTTAAGAAATTCAGGCTATCTTTTTTTTTTTTTTTTTAGCTGTAAGGGACAGTACAGAATAGAATGACTACTAGTACCACTGCCTTGATTTATGCTGAGAAACCAGCAGTTTTACACACTTTTGCTTTTATACAGTCACGGCAGCATCAGTGAAAAAGCAGGCAATGTCTTTGTATTACTTTCACAATTTAAAAAAGTTTTCTATTAGGTTTCTCAGGGTGAATTAATATTATTATCAGAACAGTTTTGACCTCTTAGGCTTTTGGAAAAGGGTCTTGGGGATCCCAGAGGTCCACGGAGCACATTTGGAGAACCACTGGTTTATCAAATAGGCACGATGCATTAGTTTTACAAAGTTTAAAGCTCATCAAAGACTGGCTTCTTTTACAATAAAAAAGCAGATGAGTTTTTAATTCAAACTACTGGAAATAAATAAATACTTCATGAGAATAGGCTACAGAGATCTAAGGAGAAAGAAAGCTAGGAAATCCGAATCACATTCACATTTATTAAAGTTCTAAAGACTTTATTGCCCACCACTACTGCTTTATAAAACGTTCTTGTGTTTCAATGTATGGTTAGAAGAGTGAAAAGAGATTTGGTTTACTTCTTTAGCATCCAGTTAGAGTTGAGGGGAGAAGGCACCTGCTGTGCACTAGAATCAAAGCCCTCAATGGGCACTGGACCAGATACAGTCCATTTTCCAACAGCTGCAAGTCATTTGGAATGCTAAGCACATGCTGGAGGGAAGCAGGAGTGGTGCTTCCAGATGCAGAGAGATAGATGATGCTGGAGGGAAAGCTGGATTGGAAAAGGGAGAGTTTTGAACATGGACATGCCTTTAGTCCTAGCTACCTGGGAGGCTGAGATGGAGGAATTACTTGAGCCCAGAAGTTTGAGGTCAGCCTGGGCCACATGATGAGACCTGGTATCTTAGGAATATATAAAATAAGGCTAGGTACAGTGTCTCATATCTGTAAACCTAGCACTTTGGGAGCCCAAGGTGAGAGGATTACTTGAGTGTAGGAGTTCAAGACCAGCCTGGGCAATAAAATGAGACCCCATTTCTACTAAAAAAAAAAAAAAAAAAAATCAAGAAATTAGCTGAACATGGTGGCACATGCCTGTGGCCTCAGGTACATTGTAGGCTGAGGCAGGAATATCACTTGAGCCCAGGAGGTGGAGGCTACAGTGAGCTGTGTTCATGTCATTGCACTCCAGCCTGGGCAACAGAGTGAGACCCTATCTCAGAAAAAGATAAAGTGAACCGAAAATGGGCCTGTAAGGACTATGATCATTGAAGGGACAAGCTGCCAGAGGAGTGGCTATGAGAGCAGGAGGAAGAAAAGCAGCAGAGGATGATAAAAGGAGAAAGAGTTCAAGATAGGAGAGGCTGTGGTCACAGAGCTAAATGCGGCTAAGAAGTGACTTATTTCCTGAACACTCACTGGATGCGGACTCTCTTCTAAGTGCTGGGGTAGAGGAGAGGACACGTGGATCACAGTTCTTGCTTTTATGAGCTTATGTTCTAGTAAGAACGAACTTAACTATTTTTTCAGGTAGTATCAAATAGCGGGATAAAGGGACACAGAGTGATTGGGGGCTATTTTAGGTGGAATGATAAGGAAGAGCCTCTCGGGAGAGCTGACATTTGAACAGTGACCTGACTGAAGCAAGGATGGGAAACAGTGCTGTCTTTACAGGCAAAAAGATGACTGCCAAGACAGAAATGCGTTTTCATGTGTGTTTGAGGAATCAACAGCAAGGTGACCAGCATGGTCAGAGTGAAGATTGAGGGGAACAGCAGAGATGAGGCCCCACAGGCGGTGCCATAGCTCATAGGGCCATTTGGCTTGCAGGCCACAGGAAGAAATTAAGGTTTTACTCAAACTCAGTTTGATGGGAAATTCATGGTAGATCTCGAGCAGGGGAGTGCCATGCTTTAAATGAGGAGGTTATGCTGACTGCTTTGGGGACTACAGGCCATAGTGGAGAGGCAGAGAAGAGGGTTAAGAAGCAGCTACGGTAATACAGGTGAGCAGTGACAGATTATGGCTCATGATCAGACCAGGCCGACGATCAATGAAGGTAGACATAACAGGCATTGCACACAGATAGGAGCAGGGTAACTAAAATGCAGGTATTTGGCCCCAGCACCGAGGCAAATGGCAATGTATGAAGAGCTCCAGTTTGTCAGCATGATGGCACCAGAGGCCTTGGCAGGAGGAGCCTTGAGAGAGTCATGTCAGCAGGGCAGGCAGTGGAGGTGAAGGAGAGATGGAAGCTGAGGAGCTGGCGTGAGGGCATGGTGCTGTGACACCAGTGAGAGGACACACTTAGAGAGTAGTGGGGAGTGGGATGGGAACAAAGGAAACACAATTTGGGGGAAATCTGTGGTAGAGACGAAGAAAATCTTCAGAAAGAGGTGATTGTGGGAACAGTGTTCTGCAAAAGTGAGGTGGGATCAACTGCACTGAGGGAAGAGTTGGCGTCAGTGGGAATAAAGAATTCTGTCTCAAACTGACACAGAAGAGCACATGGCATGGATGAGTGTCAGCAGGTCAGCAGCTTAGCAGGAAAGGGGATGGGAAGCAGAGGGCTTGCTAATGTTGTTCCAGTGCTCTCTAATTCCTGTACCATTGATCCCAGAAAGGGAGGTTCATTCTTGAAATACTTGAGCCAGATGTGGTGGCTCATGCCTGTAATCCCAGCACTTTGGGAGGCCAAGGCAGGCAGATCACCTGAGGTTGGGAGTGCGAGACCAGCCTGACCAACATGGAGAAACCCCATCTCTACTAAAAATACAAAATTAGCCGGGTGTAGTGGCACATGCCTGTAATCCCAGCTATTCAGGAGGCTGAGGCAGGAGAATCGCTTGAACCTGCTAGGCGGAGGTTGCGGTGAGCTGAGATCGGGCCATTGCACTCCAGCCTGGGCAACAAGAGTGAAACAGCATCTCAAAACAACAACAACAAAACAAAACAAAACAATACTTGACAGCACAGAGTTTGGGAGAAAGGGAGCAGAATCTCTGTAAAATGTATTTGTTTTTGAAAACATATTTGAGTTTGGTAGCTTAGATCTGGCAATGTTCTCCCATCTGATAACCACCAGACAAGAAATAAACTTGCTTAAAATAAGCTTTTTTCCTTTCGTTTTGACTTAAAGAGTTAAGTAGCTCATGGATATACGCCTCTGCAGAGCACCCTCTGAGTGGCAACACCTCGCAGCTCACCTTTAATCTTTACTCAGCCGTCCACTTTGCCCAGTTCTTTGTAGGGTAGATGTTTGATAGATGTAAAGTGATTCATGAGACTGTCTCACAAACTGCTTGGCAGGTTTAGAGGAATCCCAGGGACACAGACACTGGCAGCTGTTTCCACCTTAAAACCAACAGAATTGTGTAAGTTGCAGATGATGTAAGACAGAGCAATGTTTATGATGTGATCACGAAGATGTGAAAAATAGGGGCTGTGAGAAGGACCATTCTTTATATACGTGTGTTCCTTATCAAGCCAGCAACTGAATTTGGGGAATGTTTTACAATCCCAGAGACCTGCGCCTGCCGTGCTGCTCTGCACGGCAGCCACTGGGAGGCTCTCTTGACCAGCAGTTTAAGTTCGTGCTCTATATAGAAGGGTGTTTTTGTGAAAAGATCAACATTTGCTCACTATCACATGGGTTGAACATATTCAAGCTTGACGTACTTGTAAAGTTCCCATCTGCCTACCCGCTAGGTTGAGACATTACATGTGGTAGGTATTTGAGGATTTACTGAATGACTTTAGTCCACACTGGGCCCGTGTGTGTGCTGCCCTTTATGAGTGTGAGGGTGACAACACTGCCTCTTTTCATGACGCCCTTGGCTGAGACGTACCGTCATTCTTGTGACCAAAATTGGCCTGTACATTTCTATGGGCAGAGTAGGTAGCAGAAGTATCTGACCTATGATTGTGATTCGGCTTCTTGCTCTGCCTGATCAAGCAAAGTCTCTGGAGAACAGAAGAATAAAAGGCAGGTACTTTCTGGTCAAAACCAGAAGAAACTTGTCATTCCTAAGAGTTCTTACTACAGCACTCAAACTAAGCTGAATCAAAGGCCAGTGCTCTATTTTGCAGATTTACATAGAAAGATTTGTAAGTTATGCTGATACCGACATTTGTCCAGCCAACTGGAAGAGGATCGTCTCGTCAGCCATTTCTCTTGCTGTGGAGCGATGACCAGGAGGTTGCTGGGAGTGAGAAAAACCGCAGGCTCTCTGAGAACATTTCATCTGATGACACGTGAGTTTGTAAGGTTTCTGTGAACTTTCTGATCATTTTTCAATACTTCTTTTGCTCCCCTAAACTTAACACTTTAAGAAATAGTTTTAAAGGTTACGTTGTACAGATGATGGAAATGGACATAAAAACCACATCTTTCTATCAGCTTTAGAATAACAGTTCATATTTTTCATCATTCATTGGTAGGTCTTGGTAAATTGCTCTTATAATAATCTGCTCATAAATTGAAAAGTATTTTTCTGGTGATTTTTGGCAATTATCTTCCAAGTATACTACCAGAATAGTACTGTAAATATCTTTATGGCTTTCTAGGGGCTATCTGCAAGTTCCGGTCTCTCTTTAAGGAGCACATGTCTGGCCTTTGAAATAATTGGCCGCTGACAGGTCTAGGGCCTCCAGACTATGAAAAATGTACAGCTTCACCGAGTCATACATTGTGTATTTGCTCTTGCCGGTGTTCCCCCTGCCTTTATCTGGAGATCTGCTTTATAGAAACCTTGACATACAGAATAGCCACAGATCCCTGTGCCCCTGTCCTCTCCCCCAGGAGTGTTGCCTGTGTTTAGAGATCAGGCTGATGAGTTAGAAGCTCTCCACAGGCAGTCTGAGAAATATTGCATTGCTGGACGTCACCCAATGCTCACCTCACTCAAGAGCTTCCTAGGGCACTCATACGACCACAACAGCCCTTTGGGGTCCTTGAGTTACCTGTGAGAGTGCAGGAAATCTTGCTGAGTCATGGGGTTGCTCACAGATATCACCAACTGGACACAGAAGCGTGAGCTTCATGGGGTCTTTCTTCCAGTCTGGCCTCATGACTGCTGTAAAGGGAAGGGCCTTGGAGCGGGCAGGCAGGGTGAGCCAGGGAGGCATTTTTAGCAAAGGCTCTCAGAGTGCCCACTGGACAGTGAGAATGGCTTTGTGGGTGCCGCTTAGGAAAATATGAAGGAACATCTCGTATGAAGATCAAGACCATGACAGGCAGTGGCACGAGGTTTTGTTTGTTTGTTTGTTGTACATTTGCCTGTAGGTAAAACTGTCGTTGAGAATGTATGCAGCCACAGAAGTGGAGCCTGATGGCTGAGTAGACATCTCTGCCAGTTGTGCTCGTCACAGGAATAGCCTCGGCAGAGGACCTGTGGCGAGGAGAGAGTCGCATGCTTGGTGGAGGGAGAGGACAGCAGCTGTGGGACTTTGCCCTGAACGCAGTGCTGCCTTGTTGTAGCAGAAAGCAAAGCAAGGCTGCACTCATCCAGTGCTCACCCACAGAGGAAATATTTAGACTAGTGCTAGCCAGAAGGGAATTGTTTAATCCCAGTGGTTGGAACTTGATAAAGCTGATAAAGTTGTGGAAAGCCTGGCTACTGCAGGATAAAGTACTCTTGGTCCTTAATAAACCTGAAAGGCTGTCTAGGCCACAAGGACTGCAACTCTTAGGCAAGTCCTAGTGCTGTGCTGCGCTTGGAGCCAGTGTATTTGGGGGCATGTGACCTAGAGAGACAGCAGCTGGGGCGGCTATGGAGTGCTTGCCCACCCCCTCTCCAATCCTAGACAGTGCAGCTCGCAGCTCTGACAGCGACCTCCTCCTTCTGCTTGAGGAGAGGAAGGAGGAAAAAGGACTTTGTCTTACATCTTGGATACTAGCTCACAGTAGGAGCGGGCACTGGTCAGAGTCATGAGATCCCCATTTCAGGTCCCAGCTTTGGGATAACATCTCTAGACAAACTCTGGGCCAGAAAGGAACCTGCTGCCTTGAAGGGAAGGACTCAGTAATGGCAGGATTCGTCACTATCTGACTAAAGAGCCTTTGGGCCTTGAATAATCAGCAGAGGGAATCGGGTGGTACATGCCATGGGCCTCAAGTGAGACTCAGACGTGCTGGCATCAGGTGTCACCGGCACATTCCCAGCTGTGGTGGCTATGAGGAGAGATTCCCCTGCTTGAGAAAAGCCAAAGGCAGAGGAAAGAGGATTTTTCTGGAGCTTAGACACCAGCTCAGCTACAGTGGAGAAGAGCACCCCGTGGGCTGTTGGAGTCCCTGATTCAGGCCTTGGCTCTTAGATGGCATCTCTAGACTTAGCCTGGGCCAGAGGGGAGCCCACTGTCGTGAAGAGTGGGTTCCAGGCCAGGCAGTATTCGCCACAAGCTGACTGAGAGCCCTCAGGCATTAAGTGAACATCAGTGGTGAGCTGGCGGTAATCCACACGGGACTGTGATGACGTTGTAGGTGGGAAAAGACTACCCTGCCTGGGGAAAGGAGAGGGGAGAGTGGGAAGTGATTTGCTGGGTGGATTCAGTGCTAGCTCAGCCAGGGTAGAACAGAACACCAGGTAGATTTCTAAGGTTTATGACTCCAGCCCTGGCTTCCAGACAGCACCTTTGAACGCATCTAGGGACCAGGGGAGCGTACTGCACTGAAGGGAAGGACAGAAGCCTGGCTGGCTTCACTACCTGCTAATTGGAGAGCCCTGGGGCCTTGAGTGAAACAGGTGGCAGCTGGGTTGTTGTTACAGTGGGGGTCTTGGGCAGCCACAGTGCTGTGCCGGCTTCAGGTCTGACCCAGTGCTGTCCCAGTGGCCACAGGGGTGCTTGTATTGCTCCTCTCCCAACTCCAGGCACAGCACAAAGAGAGAGAGACTTCATTTGCTGGAAAGGAAGGGAAGAAGTGAGTCTCTGTCTGCTAATCCAGACAATTCCTCCAGGTCTGATCCAAGACTGCCAATGTGCAAAAAACAAACAAAACTGGAAGAATCACATTATCTTATTTCAAATTATACTGTACAGCTATAGTAACAAGAACAGCATGGCAATGGCATTAAAAATAGACACATAGACCAATGGAACAGAATAGAAAACCCAGAAACCAATTCATACATCTGCAGTGAACTCATTTTCAACAAAGGTGCTGAGAACATACAATGGGGAAATGACAGTCTTGTCAATAAGTGGTGCTGGGAAAACTGGATATCCATATGCAGAAGAATGAAACTAGGCCTCTATTTCTCATCTTATGCAAAAATAAAATCCAAGTGGATTAAATATTTAAATCTCGGCTGGGTGCAGAGGTTTACACCTGTAATCCAAGCACTTTGGGAGGCTGAGAAAGGAGGATTGCTTGAGCCCAGAAGTTCAAGACCAGCCTGGGCAATGCAATGAGATTTTGTCTCTATTTCTTAAAATTTTTTTTTAAAAAAAATATTTAAATCAAAGACCTCAAATATAAAACTAAAATAAAACATTGGGAAAACTCTCTAGGATATTGGACTGGGCAAATATTTCTTGAATAATATTTTATAAGCACAGGCAACCAAAGCAAAAATGGGCAAATTTGGTCACATCAAGTTAAAAAACTTCTGCACAGCAAAGGAAACAATCAGCAAAGTGAAGAGACAACCCGTAGAATGGGGGAAGATATTTGAAAACTATCTACAAGGGATTAATTACCAGAATATTTAAGAAGCTTAAATAACTCAATAGAAAAAAATCTAATCATCTGATTTTTAAAATGGGCAAAATATCTGAATATACACTTCTCAAAAGAAGACACAGTTCTCAAAAGAAGGCATGGGGGCATGGGCCTGTAGTTTCAGCTGTTTGTGAGAATTACGTGCAAACATTACTTAATCCCAGGAAGTTGAGGCTGCAGTGAGCTGTGCTTGTGCCACTGCACTCCAACCTAAGTGACAAAGTGAGACCCTGTTTCAAAAATAAAAAAGGCATACAAATGACAAATAGGTATATGAACAGATACTCAACATCAACATTATTGATTGTCAGAGAAATGCAAATCAAAATTACAATGAGGGATCATCTCACCCCACTTAAAATGGCTTTTATTCAAAAGACAGGCAATAGCAAATGCCGGTGAGGATGTGGAGAAAAGGTAACCCTCGTACACTGTTAGTGGGAATGTAATTTAGTACAACCACTGTAGAGAACAGTTTGGAGGTCCTCAAAACTAAAAATAGAGCTACCATATGATCCAGCAATCCCACTGCTGGGTATATACCTAAGAGAAAGGAAATCAGCATTATCAAAGAGATACTTACATTCTCATGGATATTGCACTAGTGTTCACAACAGCCAAGATTTGGAACATCCCGAGTGTCCATCAACACATGAGTAGCCAAAGAAAATGTACATATACACAATGGAGTACTTACTATTCAACCGTAAAAGAGAATGAGATCCTGTTATTTTCAGCAACATGGATGGAAATGTTAAGGGAAATAAGCGAAGAAAGACAAACTTCACATGTTCTCACTTACTTGTGGGAGCTAAAGTAGAAGAATTGTTAGCAGAAGCTAGTAAAGGTAGTATGGGCAATGGGGGAGTAAGGAGTAATGGTTAATAGGCACACACATAGTTAGAAAGAATAAATAAGATCTAGTATTTGATAGCACAACAGGGTGACTACTGTCAATAATTATTTAATCGTACATTTTACAGTACCTAAAATAGTATAATTGAACTATTTGTAAAACAAAGGATAAATGCTTGAGGTGTGATGGATACTTTATTTACCCTACAGTGACACATTGTAGGCCTGTATCAAAATACTTTATATACCCCATAAATATATATGCCTACAATGTACCCAAAAATTTTTAGAAGACTGTCATTCAGAATTACCACACTGTGGGTTTACAACTGAAGCGAGGCTTCTTGTGACTAAGAAGAGACTAGTGACGGTTGGTTGCTGTTGAAATGGCTGCTAAATTACCACTTTGCTAATAGTATATAAACTGAATTGTCATGGTGATACTGCTAATAGCCATTTTAGCAAAGAACATAACAGCAAATGAATTTGAAACAAATAGAAGTACTTTGAAAGTTGCAGAAGCTAACATGCCTTTAATCACTACAGTTGTCATCAGTCTATAAACTGGTTTCTTGAAGGAAGCAAAATTCATAATTATGAAAACATAGCTCGCTGTAATGGCAGCTAAATTGTTCTCAAAACCTGCAACTAATCTGGCAGCAGGGGGTGACTCTAGCTCTAGTTACAAGGTCAGAAAATATACAGGGAAATGTGCAGGTTTCCATAGATGTGAGCTCCAGAAGCAGTGGTGGCAGAGGCCAGCTCCAAGACGCCCAGTTCTACACAATGCTGTTTGTGAATGCAGAAGCACCAGGAGCTATGCTCCGAACACGAGCAATGTTCATGATCTTTGGAAACTGAAAAGCATTACAACAAAGTACTTAACGTACATTTATCTTGTCCCTCTGCTGTTGATTATTTATAATGGTCTCTTTTTGACTGTAATTGAACCATTTAAAAATTAGTGTCTATCAGATTTTTCTTAAAACTTTTTGACATGTATTTGTCTTGTTAGAATATATTTTCTTTCAGGAACGTTACTAATTATCAGAGACATGCAACTGAAAACCACAATGTGATATGACCTTGCTCCTGCAGGAATGGCCATAGTTTAAAAATAAAAAAAAAAAATACATGTTGGCATGGATTTGGTGAAAAGGGAACACTTTTACGCTGCTGAGGGGAATGTGAACTAGTGCAACCACTATGGAAAACAGTGTGGGGATTCTTTAAAGAACTAAAAGTAGAACTGCTGTTCAACCCCGCAATCTCTCACTACTGGGCGTCTACCCAAAGGAAAATAAGTCATGAAAAAGACACGTGCACATGCATGTTGATAGCAGCACAATTTGCAATTGCAGAAATATGGAGCCAGTCTAAGTGCCCATCAATGAAGGGGGAGCTAAAGAAAATGTAGAATATATACACCATGGAATACTGCTGAGCCATAAAATAGAATGAAATAATGGCCTTTGCAGCAACTTGGATGGAGCTGGCGGCCATTATTCAAAGTGAAGTAACTCAGGAATGGAAAACCAAATATCATATGTTCTCACTTATAGGTGGGAGCTAAGCTATGAGGATGCAAAGGCATAAGAATGATATAATGGGCTTTGGGGACGTGGGGAGGAAGGTTGGGAAGGTGGTGAAGGATAAGATTACATATTGGATACAGTGTACACTGCTCAGGTGGTAGTTGCACCTGAAGCTCCGAAACCATCCCTAAAGAACTTATCCATGAACCAAAAACCACCTGTACCTCAAAAACTATTGAAATAAAATTGAAAACCATTATTGGTAAAGAAATATATATATATATGCATACATACATATACACATACATACACACATACATATTTGTTTATACATAAATATATAAAATGTGTATATATATATTTGTATATATAAACACATTTAATTTAAACTGAGCAGCTCCTATTCAGAAAATTTGCTGTGCCTGTAAAGGGTATGCTATTCAGCCATGTAAAAAACAACAGAAAACTGAGAAGATGTATATCCTGTAGGCATAATGGTTTTCTTTGATAACTAAGCCTCTATTAATAAACATGATGATTCTATAAAATACTGTATTTTACACAATTAAAACATGTTTTTGGAAAAACATAAAAGAGATTATGAAGTACATATATTCCTATAGTAAATTAAGTCCTGATTAGCTGATTATGAAAACATTATGTGATTTACATTTCTATAGCCTTATGGTTATATGAATAGGAAATTAATGCTGGAAGGAGATTCAGTCAGGTTTTCAGTTAAATGAGAAAACCACATATCTGCTTATGTCTTAACTGCTCTTCATTACCAGAGAACATCAAACGTTTGTTGACTTAGCCAGTGGGTAAAACATTAAAACTTTAAAACCAAGAAACCAAATGTGCTGTTCAGGTATTAATTATTTTTATACAATTAAGTCTTTACAGGAATTACTGTGCAAGTGGTAAGATTACTCTAGTTTATATTTATTTAAACATTGGACAAAGTGCTGGATACAGTGACTCCCATCTGTAATAATAACAGCACTTTGGGACACCAAGGTGGGAGTATCACTTGATCACAGGAATTTAAGGCCAGCCTGGGCAAAAAGTGAGACCCTGTCTCTGCAAAAAGAATTAAACAACAACAACAACAACAACAACAACAACGACAAAACAGCCCAGCTCAGTGGCATGAGCCTATAGTCCCAGCTACTTAAAAGGCTTAGGTGAATGGATCACTTGAACCTGTGAGTGTGAGTCTGCTGTGAGCTAGGATCACGCCACTGCACTTTAGCCTGGGTGACAGAGCAAGACCCTGTCTCTTAAAATTAAAAAAAAAAAAAATGAGAAAACACCTTTGGCCAGGGCAGCTGAATAATCATGTGGCAGAAGGCTGCTCCCAGCCTATTCTTCTCTCACTGCATTCAACTCATCCCGACATTCTCTTCTGACCGGGGTGAGAGAGGCTGACCACCTTAGTTTCATTTCCAACTCAGGAGAAACATTGTGTGATACAGTTTGGCTGTGTCCCACCCAAATCTCATCTTGAATTTCCACGTGTTGTGGGAGGGACCCAGTGGGAAGTAATTGAATAATGGAGGCGGGTCTTTCCCATGCTGTTCTTGTGACAGCGAGTAAGTCTCATGAGATCTGACGGTATTATAAGGAAGAGTTTCCCTACACAAGCTTCACTCTTTGCCTGCTGCCATCTACGTAATGTGACTTGCTCCTTCTTGCCTTCTGCCATGATTGTGAGGCCTCCCCAGCCATGTGGAACTGTGAGTCCAACCAACCTCTTTCTTTTGTAAACCGTCCTGTCTCAGGTATGT